GACTCATGTTAAATGTTTATCGAATGTGTTAGCGTCTGTTTATGAGTCACAAGAAATCCTAATAATCTTTTAGAAGGAGTAGATGTTACTGTAAGCTAGCTCAGGCTCTGTTAAATTTAACAATATGCTGACATAGTAAGACAGTGCTTTGAAATGGCTGTCAGAAATGACAGAGGTAGTATCATGTTTTACTATCTGAGGTGTAACAGGTGGTGTGTTTCACATGTTTAGAATAAGGTAGATATGGTGTTGCACATGGTCAGTAAGTCAGCACTGACGCAGGCTTATAACTCTGATAAAGGCCCGAAATGTAGCTGTAGGGAGGTACAGAGAGGCAGGATGTGACAGATATATTTCAGCAAAGCTCCACCTCTTCCTGTGCGCAGATACACACTGAGGACATAACGTGATGATCAGAGTAGACAGCGGACACACAGGAAGAAAGACAGACGGGCAGAGAGACGGTCCACCTGAACATGGATCACCTGTCGGTACTGGTGCTGGTGCTGGTGCTGTGGAGCTCAGGTAGGACTCTGCTTAAAGATGATGTGTTATTATTAATATTTGTACTGAACCTTTAAATCAGAGAACAAACTGATCACACACACCAACATCAAGTTTTATTCTGTTCTTCTTTCAGTCAGTTATTAATCTATTATCCAACATCCAATCAGTGTGTTTATATTCAGTGACTATCTCAGATGGACCAGTCGGTTCATGTGCAGGCCTCACTTAAACAGTCAGTGGGACTGCCCGAAATAAGAAGAACACACTGGCTGCACAAATCTGATTTTATCAGTTTCACAGAAATGAACTTCAGAGAAGTGTGACGATCATCTTCACTGGACAAAAACTTTATTTAGTTTTTGAATCTATTTTTAGTCCAGTTTTATTTCTGCAACATCCAATAAATGTATGAATTAGTATAACTGAGTAATGATCTGTCTGTGCAGTGGTTCTCATCAGTAGTGGGGGAGTCCGCCATAGATTCAGACTCAGGACAGATGTGTAGGAAACGATGCTGCGTGTGATGCAACATCTGATTGGTATCAGCCTCGATGTTTCCTGTTCACTCTCCTGCTGCCTGATCAGAGCTGCTGAAAGTTATGCAACATTTCTTGTTGTTGTTGCTTCACATTAAAACACTTCAACTGGACAAACGCAGGGGGGCTTTTATTGTGAAGCAGTCACAGGAAGCTTCGCAGAGCTTGAAACACATAGTTAACATAGTGACACCTGGTGGATAAAACACCACAACACAACCACCATTTTAATAGTTGTAGTTTCATGTGTGCAGTAAGAAGTACACACACACATACACATATACACAGACACACATGCACACACACGCACACTTTCACACACACATGCACACACACATAAACAAACACACACACTTACACTCACACATAAACACACAAACATAAACACACGCACACACATTCTTGTACTTCTATCCTTGTGAGGACCCTAATTGGCATGCTGCATTCCTTAAAGGGGATCTATGGTTGTGCTTTGACCCTACGCATGTCGCCTATGCTATTGTGAGCATTTTTACTTCTGCGGTGGTGTGTCTGTGTCACTCTGCAGTTACACCTCCAAAACACTAGTCGGCAGCGGAGGTTTCTGTGAAGTGCTGTCAAGTTTCGTTGATTCAAAACACATATTAAACACACATTAAACACACAGTCAAAACACATTAAACACACATTAAACAGTCAAAACGCATTAAACACACATTAAACACACAGTCAAAACACATTAAAAACATTAAACACACAGTCAAAACACATTAAACACACATTAAACACACATTAAACACACAGTCAAAATGCATTAAACACACACATTAAACACACAGTCAAAATGCATTAAACACACACATTAAACACACAGTCAAAATGCATTAAACACACACATTAAACACACATTAAACATGGCTTAATAGAGGCAGTTTCAAACACAAGTCAGCTTCACTATAACTCGCAGCATTCACAGACAAACACTTGTCTTCATCTGGACACACAAATACAACATGCTAACCTTATTAGCACAAGCCTATGGCATTTTACATTGTATAAATTAGCCTAGCAGCTAGCAGAGATTTCCTCTACTCATATGAAGCCAGGGACAACGGCAGCATTTAACAAAGATAACGTTACAAAATTCAGCTCCATTACAGCTCACAAGGTTCACTGACAAAACAGCTGCCTTATACTAAGCAGGTTTCCAAAACAAATACAACATGCTAACATTATTAGCACAAGCCTATGGCATTTTACATTGTATACATTAGCCTAGCGACGAGCGGAGATTTCCTCTGCTCATATGAAGCCAGGATAAATCACACACAGTGTGTGGAGGCTTTACAGAGACAGACAGGAGGTCTGCATCACTGCGACGTGGAGTTACATTTCTGGAGAGGTGCATGTTATATTTCATTAAAATCACTTTATTTTGCATCAAAAACTAAGTCTTAAAAATCTAATAACTAATTTCAGGTGAAGGGAGGGTAATATAGTTTCTTCCTGTCACTGTGGGAGGCTCAAGGATAAATATTTGTAGCTTCAGGAAAGGACACACCGCAGCCACCCCTCCTCTGATTAGTAAAGAACAGTCCCTAACTGTAACCATCACAGTTAAATGCCTGACCTTTATTTGAACCCTGAAAACAAGTCTGAACCCTCAAACAGGCCGCTGAAGAAGTGAGGACCGACCAAATTGTCCTCACTTCTCAAAATGTCCTCGCTCTGGTGCCAAATGCAGTCAATCCTTACTATGTATTGTGGACAAGTATGCGAGCACACACACACACACACACACACACACACACACACACACACAAATACAAACACACACACACACACACACACACACACATATACACACATCACATGTCGTGGGTCATGATACATGTTAACAGGGTGTTTTGACAGAGAAAAGAAGTTGTGATAGATTAAGACTCGAGTGGACACTGTCCCATGTTACAGACGAAGCACATGTCTTCATTGTTAGTGATTTATGTTGTAACACAACTAAAAACAACGTTAAATAAACCGTTTTTATGGCAAATCAACAACATTTCAGTCTAGTGACTATTTTAACGTTGATTTCATTCCAAGGATGTGATCAGATAATCTGTAAAACATAATAGTTTCATCCGATGCAGGAGCTGGAGCATTTGTGTCAAGTGCATTGTTACACCTATGGTTGTTTATTCAGCCAGTATGATTGATGGAAGTTGTCAAAAAATTTTTACAACCTTTATCTGATTTAGAATATAATGAACAACAGAGTGCAGTTTGGGGAAGCCTGTGTGAAATAGCACAGTGACCCCTGGAGGGTCACAAATGTAGCAACACCTCAAGTCACTAACAGTCTCAACTACAGCCACACAGTCCATTTATATCTGCAAGTTTTACTGATGAAAACAGAAATAAAAGATATATAGATATACAATATTTTATATGTACAAGTCATCGAGCTGTGCCCATAAATCTAGGCAGTTACAGATGTAACTGGGGGGCGGCAGTAGCTCAGTCCATAGGGACTTGGGTTGGGAACCGGAGGGTCGCCTGTTCAATTCCCCGTCCGGACCAAAAATATGGAGTGTGCACTGGTAGCTAGAGAGGTGCCAGTTCACCTCCTGGGCACTGCAGCAACACTGCCGAGGTGCCCTTGAGCCAGGCACTGAACCTCCCAACCGCTCGGAGCGCCTGTCATGGGCAGCCCCACTCTGACATCTCTCCACTTAGTGCATGTATAGGTCCTGTTTGTGCATGTGTGTGTTCGGACCTTTGTGTTAATGACACCAGAGTGAAAAAATTGAATTTAATAAAGTATATAAAAAAATATGTGTTATAATTGAGCTGCTGGTCAAACCTGTACTTTGGTGTTCCTTACAGACCAGAACTAACATGTATGATGTGAGGAAACTATGCTAACTGATGAAGAAACAGATACATGGAGACAACCGTGTTGATATTAGCTCTACAATAGACTAAAACACAAATTTATATTTAAAAACTATCCCTGGATCAGTTTCTTGCAGAGTGGACGAATCCTGGTGATATCTCTCAAGAATGTTTGTTACTGGTCACATGTCGACAAAACAGGGATAGCTGTGGATCAGAGGTTGAGTGGGTTGTCCACTGATCAGAAGATTGATGGTTCGATCCCCAGCTCATCCAGTCCACAATTCGAAGAATCCTGCGGCAAGTCACTGAACCTCCAAATTGCCCCCGATGGCTGTTGCCTCAGTGTGTGAGAGGGTGTGAATGGTTACTGAGTGGCAGGTGGCACCATGTATGGTAGCCTCAGCCATAAGTGTGTGAATGGATCAATTTGACATCGTGTAAGAGCACTTGTGAGTGTTTGAAGGACTAGAAAGGCGCTATGCAAGAGCAGTCCATTCACCATTAAAAATTATGTCATGATAACATTTACATAGCAGGAGAAAATGTGTGTTACATCTGTAACATGTTTCATTTCAGGGGACTCTCCCCGACACCGAGTTTCAGGTAATATTAGGTGATAGCATACATTCCTTTGACGTCCTCCATTGTTAGGAAGCTAACGTTAACTGACATGAATATTTATTATCTGAAATAGTCTATTTGTTGTGTTCATGTTCTGTCACTTAAATCACAAATCCCAGCACTGAACAGGAGGTAGCCCAAGGGTCCTCTACCAGAGGCCTGGGAGTTTGTGGGTTCTGTGCAGTATCTTAGCTGTTCCCAGGGCTACACTCTTTTGGACAGAGACCTCAGATGTTGTACCTGGAATCTGCTGAGGCCACTCTCCCAGTTTGGGGGTCACAGTCCTCCACTGTTGCCTTTACTCCCCACATCTTTTTCTCGCTCCTCTTTCAGCCCTTGGTATTTGTCCAGCTTCTCATGTACTGTCTTCCTGATGTTGTCGCATGGAATTGCTAGATCTCTAATGCTTTCTACATTGTTTTTCACTCAACACGATAGTTTAGTAGTTAGCTCGGTCATTCTCCAACACCTTAGGAGGTGTCTTCCATTGTGACCTTGGGACTTCCAGCCCATACTCAGTGCAGATGTTCCTGTGCACTATCCCAGCCAATTGGTTATGGCGTTCTGTGTACGTTCTTCCTGCCTGCATCTTACACCCTGCTGTAATGTGCTGAACTGTCTCAGGAGCATCATTGCACAGCCTGCACATGGGGTCCTCTCTGCTGTGGTAGACCCCTGCTTCTATTGATCTGGTACTAAGTGCTGTTTACTGTGCTGCCATGATTAGTGCCTCTGTGCTGTCTTTCAGTCCGGCCTTTCCCAGCCACTGGCAGGATTTCTTAATGTTGGTCACTTCTTCAATCTTTTGGTGGTACATGCCATGCAGGAGCTTGTCCTTCCATGATGGTTTGTCATCTTCTTCTGCTGCCTAAGGTATTCAGTCAGCAGCTCATCTTTGGGGGCCATCTTACTGATATATTCCTGGATCTTGGTTCAATCAATCAATTTTATTTATAAAGCCCAATATCACAAATCACAATTTGCCTCACAGGGCTTTACAGCATACGACATCCCTCTGTCCTTATGACCCTCACAGCTGATCAGGAAAAACTCCCCAAAAAACCCTTTAACGGGGAAAAAACGGTAATGTGTTTCGTCCTGGACAGTGGCTCTGACGCTAACCAGTCCTCAGCCTCCCTTGTTCCTCTCAATGTACAGTCTCAGGGGGTTGGACTTGGGTTAAACCCTCCATGCATTGTGAGAAGCTTCCTTGTCTTGATATTAGCGGCCTCTAGCTCCTCCTTTGGCCAGCTTATTATACCAGCAGGGTATCTGATGACTGACAGGGTGTATGTGTTGATGGCTCGGACCTTGTTCTTTCCATTCACCTGACTTTTCAGGGCATGTCTTACTCTGTATCGGTATAAATTTCTGGAATTTCTCAATTATGGGATCAATAACGGTGTATCTTATCTTTGGCTGTGGCTGACTTCTTCGCGGCCTCCTTGTTGTTCCCATTTGCCTGTGGGATCCCAAGGTATTTGTAGCTGGCCGGATCATCTGCAGTGCTTCCTTCTGAAAGTTCAACCCCCTTGGTTCTGATTGTCTTCCCTCTCTTGGACACCATTCAACTACACTGATCTAGTTCGCTTCACATTCCAATGTCCTTGCTGTAGATCCTGGTGAGGTGGATCAGTGAGTTGATGTATTGCTCACTCCTGGCATACAGCTTGATGTCATCCATGTAGAGGAGGTGAGTGACAGTTGCTTCACTTCAGAACCAGTATCTGTAGCCGCTCTTTGTGATGAGTTGGCTGAGGGGGTTCAGGCCTGTGCAGAACAGTGGCAGGGACAGGGCATCACCTTGGTATATGCTGCACCTGATGGTAACTTTTCCATAGCTCCATGATGGATGGATGGATGGATGGATGGATGGAACTCATTCTACCTAACAATTAGTTTCAAGTTATTTATTATCATACGAAAAACAACTGCAGTGAAGCACTGAAAACCTTCTCAGGCTCCCTGCAACAATGCTCATTAAATAAATACAAAATCTAGAATAAACTAATAGATATTTAACTTTAAGCATTTCCCCAAACTCTTTTATTGTTGCTGTTCCAACATTTTTAAATTTGATGTTTTAATCTGTAACGTGTGCAGAGACTCCTTTTGTGATGCTGCACTATGAATAAACTGAACTGAATCATATTTCCTAAAATGTTGAACTATTCCTTTAACTCTATATTGTGTATTCATGTGTTCATCTCACCTGTAGTAAACTGAGTGAGTTCACTGAGGTGTTTGTGTTCACAGCTGTGCTCCAATCAAACTGCTTTATACTGATGTTTATCTTTTGATTGCCTCCTCAGGACTCGAGGCTGAAGGAGAACACAACTCAACAGGTACACACAGAAAGAAAAGACAAATAAAGAACCTTTAACGCAGAATCAGTAGTCAAGTTTTAGTTTAAAATATATTTAATTTATTTTACTGATGACTCTCTGCTTTATGTTCAGAGCCTGGTGATGTCAGATTGGTGGGAGGAGACAGTCGCTGTGCAGGAATACTGGAGCTGAAACTAGAGGGAGAATGGACACCAGTGACTGATGTTCCATATATTTCCCGGGGAGCACCACTGTCCTATCCCTGGACCCTGAAGGAAGCAACTGCAGCCTGCACAGAGCTGGACTGTGGCTCTGCTGTCTCTATAGGACGGAAAGAGGTCTCCTTAGACATGGATATGTTGAAGACCGACTCTAACTGTGTTCACTCTGGATCTTCTCTGACAGAGTGTGCATCATCAGCCTCCTCTTCCTACATCCTGAATCTCACCTGCTCAGGTAAGCCCATCACGGACATTATGTATGACATCATCTATGACAGTAATGTCCCCAGGTTGACTCACACATGTTCTGCTGTGTCCGTACATGCACCAAGATATATATCTGTAAATACAACAGTTCACTCCAACCAAGCGGTTTGATTGGACAGGAGGCACATCATGAATGCTGATATACAGTGTAACAGCATGGTCCTCAGATGAAGATGAAGGGAAGAAGCCTGAATACTTCACTGCAAATATCCAAGTGTGCTCATATGACATCAGAAGATGCCACAGCACTACTGTCTGATCGGCTGCTAACTCTTCAGCATCACAAATATGCCACCAAAGTGATTGTCAGCAGACTCTTATTCTTATTTCACTGGTCACACAATAAATGGAAACATTCAGATTAATGTGCATGATACACAGTTGCTGGCTTGTGGTAACTTGTAGACTTACATAGAGTAGCGAGCTAGTGCACAGGAATGTGTATGTGTTGCTTAGCAACAGTCCAGTCCCGGTTCAGTTGCAGAACTATTTGTGTTGGTGGACAAATAATAATCTGTTGTCAGCTTTTATTTTTAACTTATAAAAAGTTCTTGTAGCACTGTTTTATAAAAGCAATATGACACGAGAGGGAGTGCTGTTGTTCTGAATATCAGCACGGCTGTAATCATCTGTGGCTGAATCACAGCTGTGCTGATATTAGGAACAATGACGCTCCCTCTTGTGTAGTGTACCTTAAGTATATGAAACATAAATGTGTGCTGTTTCAGGAGTCCCTCTGGCCAACCACTCGTGAAAAGGAAACAGATTTTTTTTTTTTTAAATTGCATTTTATTGGGTTTTTCTTTTTTGTGTGTGTCAATACAATCATCATCGTTTACACACACGCACACACACACACACAAAAAAGAACAAACAAGCAAAAAACAAACTAACAAACAAAAAAATTTACTCATTCCTTTACCCCATACCTTCCCCACCCATCATATGTACATATTCAGCATTCTCTTTGTCCAACCAACATCATTTCATTATAATTTTAATTCAAATACAAAAATATATTCTCTCATAACCTACATACACACAAGAAATATCCATAAATTAATCTAAAGCAATATCTGCTCTTCTATCTTTTTTATATTATTAACAAGTTTGCCCTATATCTTATCAAATTTCATTGATTGACCTTTAACATTATACATGATTTTTTCTGGAGTGCAGTATGAGAGTAATTCTCTCCACCATTGTGTTATTGGAGGTGCATATTTGGATTTCCAATTAACTAATATGCATGTATTTTGCTGCTGTCATTATTAATAATATTAATTTTTTTTCATCATTATTAACGTCTTTACACATTTCTACATCACCCAAAATTGATATTCTGGGGTCCAGGATAATTCTTTTCTGTAACATTTCGGATGTATATTTATAAACTTTATTCCAAAATCCTTCCAAGTGTGTGCACCTCCAAAACATGTGTATCATATCACCATTATCTGCATTACATCTTGGGCATTTAAATGGTGTATTAGGGCTAAACTGCTGTAGTCTGTGGGGAGTATAATACACACGGTGAAATATGTTAAACTGCATAAGTCTATGTTTGGTGTTAACCAAATTTTTTTTGTGACTTCTCCAATAGATCTTCCCATTCCTTCAGCATATATTCGTGTCCCACATCTTTTTCCCACTCATATTTATGTTGTGCTGATTATGGTTCATTCCATTGTTTATAGTATTATACAATCTTGATATTAATCCCTTTTGTACCTTTGCTTTCAACATAGTTTCTTCTATTGTAGTATCTGAAATACTGGGATAGTTCATCATGATGTTTGATTTGACCCAACTCCTTATTTGCAGAAATTTAAAAAAGTGTGTCCCTGGAAGTTGATATCGATCTTTCAAAAAACTGAAATCGGCAAATATATCATTATCACAGAGATCGCCTAGCTCTTTGACTCCCTTTTCTTTCCACCTAAGTGTGATACCATCTATAATATTGTCTGGGACTAATGGATTATTCCATAATGGAGTATGTTTAAATAAAGCATTCCGTAGTCCCAATAGTTTGTGGCTTTCCTGCCAACATTCAAATGTATGGCACACAGTCTGGTTTTTAGTAAGCTTGTGCAGGTTCTTTAATGAGCCTATGAACGGGATTGTACTCAAAGGGATAGGGTCAACAATCTGCTATTCTATGGTTAGTCAAGTTTGAAGCCAAAACCATACCGCCCGTAATTGCGATGCCAAATAATATATTTTAAAATTAGGTAAGTTTAAACCTCCTTTATGTAATGGGGCTTGTAATGTTGTGATCTTCACTCTGGTGTTTTTTCCAGCCCATAAGAACTTAGAAATAATTTTGTTTATTTCTGTGAACATTTTGAACGGACATTTTACTGGGATTGTTTGGAACAAATACATGAATTTTGGCAACACATTCATTTTAATGATGTTAACTCTTCCGATTAATGATATGGATAAAGCTGTTCATTTCTGCAAATCATGTTTAACCTTCTCCAGTAATGGCAGATAGTTTGCTTGGTAGACTTTGCTCAAATCGTTTGTAATTAATATCCCTAAATATTTTAGTACTTTTGGTTGCCATTTGAATTGAGACAGCAGTTGGTGAGCGTTAACCTGTGTGTGGTCATTTAAAGGCATTACTTCTGTTTTTTCATAGTTAAGTTTGTAACCTGCTAATTTGCTGTATTCCTGTAATATATTCCTGTAATATTATGCATTTTTATTTATTTAGTTACAACTGATTTTATGTGACTGTTGCCTTGTGTGTGTCAACCTTGTTGTTGTCATTGTTGTTTGTTGCTGTTGTTTTTTATTGCTACTGCGGCAGAATCAATTGCCCCTCGGGGACAAATAAAGGTCTTGAATGACATTTTTATGACTTCTTTTATGACTTTAATATTGTAAATAATTCTGGTAACGACTGGTCTGGTTTTGTAATATACAGCAATAAATCATCCGCGTATAGTGAAGTTTTCACCTCTTCCGTACCAAGTTTTATTCCATTAATATTTGTGTTAGTTCTAATTGCTGCTGCCAGAGGCTCTATTGCAAGGGCAAATAATAATGGTGATAAGGGACACCCTTGCCTGGTGCCTCTTCCTAGGGAGAAGGGTTTTGATAAAATTCCGTTTGTAAGAATTTGCGCTTTGGGGTTTCTGTATATTCATTTTATATAATTTACAAATGTTTCACCAAAGTTCTTGTGCTGCATAGTCCTAAATAAAAAGTCCCATTCAATAGTGTCATATGCTTTTTCTGCATCCATCGCCTTTACAAATCTGGGATCCGTCACACTTTTGGATCTCTCTATTATATGAAATAATTTGCGGATGTTATCTGCTCCTTGCCTATGTTGAATAAAACCTGTCTGGTCCTTATGGATCAGTGAGTTTATGACTGATTCCAATCTGAGTGACAACATTTTAGAGTACAATTTTAAATCAACATTAAGCAATGATAGTGGTCTATTTGATCCACATAAGTTTTCATCTTTGGATGGTTTGTGGAAAACATTGATTGTTGCTTCTTCCAGTGTTGGGGGTAGTTGTCCTCTTTGGAGGGAGTCATTAAGCATATTTAGATATGGGCTGAGAAGCCTTTCCCGAAATTTCTTTAAAAACTCTATTGTGAAGCCATCTGGGCCCAGGGCTTTCCCTATTTGTAAATGGTCCATTGACTTTAAAATTTCAATTGCTGTAAAATGTCGCTCTAGTTTTTCTTTTAAATCTTCAGATAATCTGGGCAGAGATGCTTTATTCATAAACTGATCGCACATTGTTACATTTAATTTACCTTTAGATTGATACAAATCTTGATAAAATGATTCAAAGCACTTATTAATTTCTTCTGGGTCATGTACCATTTCCCCTTCTTTATTTTTTATAGAGTGAATTATTTTAGCATTTTCCTCCTTCTTAATTTGCCAGCTGAGTAGTTTGCCCGTTTTGTCTCCGTTCTCATAATAATGATATTGAGTTCTTGCCATGTCAGCTTCTGTCCTTTTAATTGTCAACATATTATATTCCAGTCTTTTCGGGGTGATGGTACAAGCTATCTCTGTGTTTTCAGTATTTGCAGATTTTTTAAACAGATTTCCATACTTGGTCACAGACCTCAGAAAAATGAGAAAACGTGAAAACGTTTTGACTTCTCTGTGTGGAGATGGGGGATACATTGCCCCCCAGTCGGGCCCAGTTCTAGACTGCTTCAAACTAGGGGTTGGCAGTAAGAGATGCTGGTTGATTATATGAATTTATCTTTCAGACCGTACACTATCACGTGGATGTTTTTGTTTTTATCCAAAGCTAAATGGGCATTATTTTTTAGGGTTTGAGGACACTTGGAGCTTAGAGTTGACCTCTTTAGGGGGGTCCATAGGGATCCTCCCTCAGGAAGAATTTTTTGATAAACAAGCTCTATTTTGATGCTTTTTTTGTACTCTGGCACCTTATTTTCATTCAAAGTCACATCTTTATCATTGGAGAGTTGAAATGTGTAAGTTGAAAAGTGACATTTATTCTTCAGATTTATTGTGAATTGTGATGTTTAAAACATTAGTGCCTCAGTGTGACTTTCCGAGTAGAATTACAATTGCTATCAATAAACCTTTATTGACTCAACTACTGCAGTTAAGAACAATTTTAAATTACTTGTGCTTTTGTATTTCCATTTTATGCTGGTTTGTAGGCTACTTCTATTCTTCATTCCAGAGGCAAAAATTCTACTTTTTACTCCATTACTTCATTTATGTGACAGTTTTAGTTACTTTATAGGTTCAGATTATTAATACAACATATTAACCAACTAATAACTTATGATGTATTAGTATAGATTAAACCACCTAGCAGTAAGCCCACATTTAAAATGAGCTTCACCTTTAAAATCTGTACCATTAATGCATCAATATTTATGATAAAGTTTAGTTAAGTTTATTTACTTTATTAATCCCCCTGAGGGGAAATTCAGTGTTTTCACTCTTGCTTGTCAATTACACACAGGTCTGAAAGACACACACATGCACAAGCAGGACCTATACATGCACAAAGTGGAGAGATTTCAGAGTGAGGGGGCTGCCCTTTGGTCAGGCGCCCCGAGCGGTTGGGGGGTTCTGTGCCTTGCTCAAGGGCACCTCGGCAGTGCCCAGGAGGTGAACTGGCACCTCTCCAGCCACCAGTCCACGCTCCATATTCGGTCCGGACAGGGACTTGAGCAGACTACCCTCCAGTTCCCAACCCAAGTCCCTATGGACTGAGCTACTGCCGCCCCCAAAATAATATAATATTTATATAGATTTTATCCTTAAATGGGTGATTATACATATAGTAATTTTACTTTTGGTAGTCTATTTTAAGTATACTTAGATGCTAATACTTTTTACTTATGCAGCCTCACCCCTAATATTCCAAAATGCTAAAACTGTCCATTCCAATATATTGATTTAAAAAAAAATCCAAATTCTTTTTTCATATAATTTTGTGCTTCAAATATTAAGCAAATTATGTGACATTACATAATGACTGTCAGGGAGTCATGAGGTAAAAAGCTTTCAAAGTTTGCAGTGTGGTTGCCACAGAGATACATAACGGAGCCCATGGACATTCTTAAATTATGTTAAAGCATTAATGTAAACGTAAGATTAAACATATCATGACACACTCCATTTATAAAACAGAAAAATTCAATGAATGAGCTGTGCAAGAAAAAAAAAAATGTAAAAAAAAATCCCCACATAAAACAGGACCGAGGGGAAATGGGGGAATATCCCTACTAAATGTCCAGAGAACTTCAGTCTTCCTACTCCCCACGGCTAACAGCGAACACATCAACTAAGCGCTATACTCACACCTAACCACAGAAAAAACACAAGTTCCATTTTACGTATGGTGATATGATGTTTCTCTCCGTGGGAAGCTGTAATAGGAAATGAAAGTAATAAATGACAGGATCATGCAAGTACTCACATAATGTTAGTTGTCATAGTCCCAGTCCAATTATCAAAGCATAACAAAAAGAGAAAATTGTCCAGTGTTGAGATTTATGCTGATCCAGATATTTTAATTAACTAAGTCCAAAAATGCTATGGCTCCCTCTGGTATATCAGACCTCTTCTCTGTACCATTGACTTTCATCTTAGGCATCACAGGATAAGTCAGTGCATGGTCAATATTCATCTTCTTCAGCTGTTCCCTCATGTCATGGAAGGCCTTGTGTTTCTTGACCACTGCCACTGAATTATCACTAAAGAAAGAAATCTTTGGCCCAGTATGTGTGTGATGTCCCAATTCTGCGCCAAGATGGTGTGCAGCATTCCTGACAAGTTGCTTGTCTGTGAAGTTGTGAACCTTCATAAAGATCAGTCTGGGGTGATGCTTGTGACCAGGTTTTGGTGCAAGAGAATGGAGTGCATGGCCCGGTATCACCCTTCCCATTTTGCTTGTAATTTTGAGATAGTTAGGTAACCACTTCTTCATGAAGCTCATAGAATTCAATCCTTCTGTACCGTCAGGTAGACAAACCAAACATGCACTGCACCTGTATGGGTTGTCCAAGTCATCAGTGTGTTCCAACATTCAACTCACTAGTTTCTCCAGATTTATCACTTTGGACTGCAGCGATTCTGTCGTGGTCTCCACACTAGCAATTCTTTCCTGCGCCTCACCAACTTGAGCTCCCAGTGCCTATATTTGGGCCATTTGTTTATCTTATGACGACAAATGCTGTGTCAACTTTATCATCAATATCCTTTGTGATGTTGTTGGCCATTCCATCCATTGACCAGAAAATGTTCAGGTCAGGGCTACTGCTACTGCTAGCATTTTCAAATTCAGCCACTTCCACAGCATTAGCTTCCTTATTCTGCTCCAAGATTTTGTTAGTAGTCTTGATTATTTTGTCCTTGGTTTAGATAATGTCAATCGGTATTTTGGAAAGGTAATTGTCAAGAGTCATTTAAGAGGGATTTCAGCTGCAAAGTATGATATTTTCACCAAGCAAATACATTAAGTAGTCGGATAACTGGACAAAGTATTACCGCTTGTAGTGTTATGATGTACTACAGTTTAGCCTTTGCTCACCTGCTAGGGGTACAATCAGTGTCAAAGACTATACTGTCTCTATTTCATTACTTTCAAATGTATTAGGCTAAAAAGTGGAAAACTGGAATGTATATGGGTGTTGGATGGGCTATATCACTGTCAGTGTCAATAGTATGTCGAGCCAGGTCTCACTCCGAAATCGTTGAAATCTGGCACTTGGGTGGTGACTTGCAGTGTCAGAAACTCATGAAAAAGGTGTCCTTTAATTTCAGCATGATACACAGCCGTTTGCTTTTTAGTGTAACAGCACCTGGCAGCATCAGGGGAAACACTGCGGGACAAGGACGAAAGTTAAGGTGGCAAAAGTCTGGGTAAGGCCGGTGGGAGTGGTGGTGGATGTGTCCAACAAACTACTTCTTTCACCCAAGAGAGAGCGGTATTTGCATCCCACAAGATTCTAAAGCCCAACTCCATTCTTTTTTCCTAAACTCAACCACAAGTTCGTTGTTGTTGAATCGTCAATTCACTGCATTGTACCAACATAGTGCTTTTATTTTAAAAGAGACTGTATGTAAACATTTAATTTCCTGTGAAAACAGAAGTATATCGCCGAAGAAGACAATGCATGTAACAGGCAGAAGTGTCCTAAAGCGTTAACAACCAACGCACCCAGGGTACCTTACACGTTGTATGTGGACGTGGAAAACAAAAGTCAATATATGACGAGGTGGAAGTAAGAATGTGTTGGTATGTCATGAACATGTAAACGTCATTAAAACGTCATAGTAGCCTATATATTATTAAAACAATGTCATAGTACAATATGTCATAAAAAAAAGTCAAACTGTCATAAAAAAGTCACAGTGTGTGCTAAAATGGCACTCATTGATCAAAACCTTGAGAAGCTCTGATCTAAGATTGCTGTTTCAAAATGCTCTAAAATGGATAGGGGGAAATTTCTCCTGAGAATGTTCCGAAGACAGACCAACAGACCAACCGACCTTCATTCATCCCCAAAGGGAAACTCAACTAATCTGATCAACTAACCCAACCCCCCTAATGGTTGGGTCACAGAAGATGTCAATTGAATAGTGCTGAGTAGGTGATTATGGCCCTGGTGTGCAGCATAAAGATTGTTGACAACCTGAGCAGAAGTAACAGAAGAAAGAAATCTGCAGATGATGATGTTAATGTTAGAAAATATGTTGAAAGTTTTGATGAATGGAATTGTTGTCAGTTTTGAATTGTTGTTTGATGACATCTTTTTATTTAGTGTCTGGTGTCTTTCATCTCTCTCTATTTTATCTTCTATTATCTCTCCAGACTCTGTCAGGCTGGTGGATGGGACCAGTCTGTGCTCAGGCAGACTGGAGGTGAAGTCTAACCAGAGGTGGTCCTCAGTGTGTGAAGCTGACTTTGACCAGCAGGATGCAGAGGTGGTCTGTAGGGAGCTTGGCTGTGGGGCTCCTTCAGTCCTCCAGGGGGCGCTCTATGGAGAAGTGGAGGCTCCAATGTGGACCAAAGAGTTCCAGTGTGGAGGCCATGAGTCTGCTCTCCTGGACTGTAGAAGCTCAGGCTCAGATAGAAACACCTGCTCACCTGGCAAAGCTGTTGGACTCAAATGCTCAGGTAGAAGAGGAGCTGCAGCTTTAATTTGGTTCATTTCTCTTCTAATGAAACTCACTTTGTTCTTTTACTGATGACTCTCTGGTTTCTGTTCAGAGCCTGTCAGGTTGGTGGGAGGAGACTGTCACTGTGCAGGAACACTGGAGGTCAAACGTGAGGGAGAATGGAGACCAGTGACTGGCTCTGACTCTCCCTGGACCCTGAAGACAGCAGGTGCTGCCTGCAGAGATCTGGACTGTGGCTCTGCTGTTTCTGTAGGAGAGAGAAAGGAGTCCTCAGCCAGACCTGTGTGGTGGATCAGGTCTGAATGTGTTCACTCTGGATCTGCTCTGAGGGAGTGTGCAACACCAGATTCCTCTTCCTCTGTCCTGAATCTCACCTGCTCAGGTAAGCCCATCAGTGACATCATCAGTGACATCATCTATGACAGTAATGTCCCCAGATTGACTCACACATGTTCCAGCTAGAATGGCAGCAGACTGTCTCCAGCAGCCATGATGTAGTCTGATGAGCTGTTGCCTCAAGAAATCAGGTGCAACCATAAGAACCACTCCCAGATGAGGTAAATAATATTGATCATCTTGTTACAATGTTCTGCTGGATAAAACCTGCACCCTGGCATTAATGTGGGTGCCACTTGATGCACTCCATCCACCCAATCATGTTTGCTGACAAAGTACAAGTACACCTCTGCGGGGTGTCCTTTGGTGTCTAGCATCAGGCTGTCGGTGGCGAAACCTTTTGAGTCCTGTGGGTTTTGAGGTGGGGTACCAGCACGTCCCACTGATACTTGATCAGATTAGGATCTGGGGAATTTTGAGGCCAGGTCAATGCCTTGAGCTATTTGTCATGTTCTTCGGCCCATTTCTGAACAGTTTATGTGGTGTGACATGGCACATTGTCCTGCTGCAGGAGACACTGCCATTGGGGATTGTCATTGTAATGAAAGGGGGTACTTGGTCTGCAATACTGCTTGGGTGCATGGAGCATCTCAGATAGCATTGACATGAATGCCAGGCCCCATAGTTCCCTCGCAGAACATTGTATTATCACAAGATGAAGAAAGGAGGACACACAACTCCAATATTTTTAAAACAATGGGTGCAAGTTGCAGAATGATTCCAAAAAATACTTGTGGGCAACAGCATTCACAAAAGACAAAAAAGTCAAAATGTATAATTTAATAGGGCAACACACGGTCAGACACGTTTCAGCCTAAGCCTTCTTTAGTGTATCAAGAAGGCTTAGGCCGAAACATGTCTGACCGTATGTTGCCCTATTAAATTATACATTTCGACTTTTTTGTCTTTTGTGAATGCTGTTGCCCACAAGTATTTTTTATTATCACAAGATGATCAATGATGTTATCGTTACCAGTCAGTGGTTTTAGTGTTTTTGCTGATTGGTGCATATAAAACATACATGTGTGCTGCTTCAGGAGTCCCCTGGGCCAACCACCAACCAGCCTGAAAGGACTCCTTCTTCAGCTTGACAGCTTTTTGAGCCACTGGTTTCCAGCAGCAGGTTCTTTGGTTGCCACCATAACAGGCACCATTGACCTACTGGATACAACTTTGATCAGCTCAGCTCAGCCGGGGGCTCGTCAGTATCTCCACACCCACGTGGCGTCCTTCACCCTGGACAAATCCTAAGGAGAGTCCAGCCCCTATCCCTTTGAGATTTTAGGGATCATTTTCTTAACAATTTTTTTTATTGTGGGTTACAGATCTTCTCAGAATAATCAGAAAGAGTGAGACCTTTTAACTTCTCTGTAGAATCACAGATGATTATGTTATTGTTTGAAAACATGTTGAAAGTGTTGAGAAATGGATAACGTATGTTAGAGAGTATGAAATGTAAATGTGATGTCAGACAGCTGCAGTCTGTGGTCTTATAAAGACGTGTTCTGTTGTTAATGATGAAGTGATGTTGGAATTGTGAGTCCAGTTTGAATCAGTGAATTGTTGTTTGATGACATCTTTTTATTTAGTGTCTGGTGTCTTTTATCTCTCTCTATTTTATCTTCTATTATCTCTCCAGACTCTGTCAGGCTGGTGGATGGGACCAGTCTGTGCTCAGGCAGACTGGAGGTGAAGTCTAACCAGAGGTGGTCCTCAGTGTGTGAAGCTGACTTTGACCAGCAGGATGCAGAGGTGGTCTGTAGGGAGCTTGGCTGTGGGGCTCCTTCAGTCCTCCAGGGGGCGCTCTATGGAGAAGTGGAGGCTCCAATGTGGACCAAAGAGTTCCAGTGTGGAGGCCATGAGTCTGCTCTCCTGGACTGTAGAAGCTCAGGCTCAGATAGAAACACCTGCTCACCTGGCAAAGCTGTTGGACTCA